TTAAATAAAAAATAAAAAAAAAGTAATTGTTGACCTTTTGGTTTCGTATAGATTTTTTAAAGGAGTACAGTAGTCCTGGGTGATATTGTTTTGTGTATCAATTTGTTAAGTAGCTAAAAGGTGACCTGGGGTAGTTTTGATTTAAGGTTTAGAGTACACCAGAGCACTAATTTCTGAGTCCTTCAGTCTCATCAGGTCTAGTAAGCCTGGATTTTTAAGAATTTGAGGTTCTGGTTTCCTATTTTCCTTCTCTTCTAACAGGATCTATTTAGGTAGTTCTGATCAGTAGCTATGAGTTGGAACTGAAGCAACCATCAGGTAACCAACCAGGCATCATCTAATAGTTCTGGTCTTAGGGTAGATGAGGTCTAGGTGCTCATAGTCCTGTACATTAGCGTCTTCAACGTGTGTTGGGTTTCCTTCCACCTGTGGGCTAATGCGTCAGACTGCAAAGTCGTTTGTACTACAAGGTCAGTGGTTCAATCAACAGCTACTCCTTGGGAACCTTCTACAGGGTTGCTATGGGTCGGAATCAACTCAACAGCACTTAACAACAACCTACCCTTTAAGGAGCTTTGATAGCATAGTAGTTTACAATCTGGGCTGCTAATTGCCACGTCAGTAGTTTGAATCTACCAGCTGCTTCTGTTGAGAAAGATGAGGCTTTCTGTTCAACAAAGATTTACAGCCTCCAAAACACTACACAGATTCACCAACTCAGTGGCGTGCAACCACCACCACCTAGCTTTAAGGCTTAGCTAACATTTTCTCTCTTTGTAAGTTTTGTGTGGTGTTGTAGGATCAGCACTGGACTGCAAATCACAAGGTCGGCAATTCAAACCCACAAGCTGGTCCTCAGCAACTCTACACAGGATCAGAATGAGTCGGAACCGACTCGATGTCACTTAACAACACTAAGTGAACCTCCACGAAATGGCCCAAGTTCCTCACTGGATCTCACTGCACTTGAGAGGGTACATCTCTCTTTCGCTTGAGTAAAAGCATCTTGAAGGCAGGATTCTACTATTCACTTCTGATTTGAGGGTCAGAGACCTGAATATAGGTTTACTATGATCAGGTAGTGTAGTGGTTACGAATCGGGCTGCGAACTTTAAGGTCAGCAGTTCGAAGCTACCAGCTGTTCCGTGGGAGAAAGATGAGGCTTTCTGCTCCTGTAGATTTACAGCCTCGGAAACCCTATACAGGTTGGCTGAGTCGGTTCCGACCTCATGGCACATAACCACCTCCACCACATTACTTACAAGGAGCCTTGGTGGCATGGTGATTAAGCCCTCAGTTGACAGTTTAAATTCATCAGTGTCTCTGTTGAAGGATGAGATGTGGAAGTCTCCTCCTATAGAATAGCTTTGGAAACCCTATGGGATGATTCTACTGTCATATAAGGTTGCTGTGAGTCGTAACCAATAGCAATGAATTTTGTTGTTGTTACCTACAGAGGCCTGGGGACAAATCGTGTAAGTACTTGACTACTAGGCAAAAGGTTGGTAGTTTGAATCCATCTAGAGCTACTTTAAAACATAGGTGTGGCAATCTCCTTCTGAAAGGTCAGTTTAAAGAAATCCTCTGGAGCACAGTTCTACTCTGACACACATGGGGTCGTCATGACTTGGAATCGACTCGACAGTTTAAAATTTGTCATTTGCGTCTCAGGCATTTCCTTTATAAAATAAAGTTAATTATTTGCCTAATATGGTGACGTCTAGTATACGCTAATGCTAGACGTCACCATACTAGCTAAAAGGAGCTCTGGTAGTGTAGTGATTACGAATCGGGCTGCTAACCTCAGGGTCAGCAGTTTGAAACTACCAGCTGTTCCACAGAAGAAAGATGAGGCTTTACAGCCTCAGAAAGATGTGATTTACAGCCTCAGAAAGATTTACAGCTTCAGAAATCTTTACCCGTAAAGATTTACAGCCTCAGAAAGCCTGTACAGGGTCACTATGAGATGGCACCGACTCTAAGGCACATAACCACCACCACAGAATATGCTAAAGAGACAGATGTATGTCTACGACGCTGAAAGAAGACTCTACCAATTCATTACTCAACCAATACTGTCGAATGGATTCTGACTCATAGAGACCCTAGGAGAGAGCAGAATTGTCCCCTAGGGTGTCCAAGGTTGGCATCACTATAAAAACCAACTGCCATCATTCTCCTGCAATGCAGCTGATAGGTCCAAATTGTCCATGGTCCCATTAGCAGCCAAGTGCTTAGCTACTGCGCCACTAGGGCTTCTCATTACTTAAAAGAATCATTCAAATGACTCCTTTGCTAACAGTTGTGACGTGCCGTCGAGTCGATTCCGACCCATAGCGAGCCTGGATAGGGTTTCCAAGGAGTGACAAGTGAGCTTGAACTGCCGACCTTGCAGGTGAAATGGCTTTGCAGTCTGGAGCATGAACCCCCAGCGCCACACCAAGATTCCTCTCTACAGTGAGTACAATTAAATCCTTAGTTGTAGATTTGACTTCTCTCTAAAACTACTTCTTGAATGTCAGTGAGACCTTCAATATTTCTATGCTTCCATTTCGTTATTTTCATAATGTGGTGATATTTACCTGATAGAAATGTTGGATAAGATAATGTGTGTACACTATGTAAACTAACATAATTATCTTTATTATGTACTTGAATTCAGAGAAATATGTCAAAAATATTTAATATTTTATTCTATTTATAGCATGTTCTGTGAGGGCTTTTGAAAGAAACTTGCCCCTTTTATATTATTTTTCTTTCTATATTGGATGTCCTAGTGTGGTGTTGTAGGATTAAGCACTGGACTGCTAACTGCAAGGTAACCTTACACAGGGTAGCTATGAATTGGAACCAACTCAATGGCACTTAACAACAACAATACCGTTTGTAGAACTGTAAATTTAATTACCAAAATTGAGCAAATGAAAACGAAACCCAGAATGGTGACATCATATTTAGCACCCCCTGCTGGCCAGAGAGCTGTTTAACACTACTGACTGAAGAACAGTAATTCAAAATAATCTAGATGTTTATTTTCATGGATTTGACCAAATAAAAAGCTATAATGACATTTCACAAAAAGACAAAAGACAAAGTTTCAGTTCTGTCTCATTTATCTGACAATTGAGGCAGCTGTCTATGTGTAGTTTTAACTGTTAATTATGTTAGGGTTCAAATATCTAGAAAATACTTTTTTACCAAGGCTAGCTGCCTCCATTTCTTCCCCCCAAAATGATTCCCTTAAAAATTCTGCTGTTACTAGATTTAAGCTTTAAATTTACAAAACATCCCCAAACTTGCAATTTCTTAGAACTATTTTTGCTTTTGATACCAATAAATTTTGCAACCACATCATTTACTTTCAAACTTATGGTTGTATATACTAATTTAACTGTGAAACAGTTTTGTTTGTGTTCAGACGCTTAGATTTTGTATTATGAAAACTCATTTATTAAACCTTTGTCCACAAAGATGAACATACCTGTAATAGCAAGCTCAAGAGAAGAATGACATTACAAAAAAAAGTAAAACTGTTATTAAAATTGATGTAAATCACTTACACTTAGAAAAATACCCCAAAAGGGATAAAGCTGCTCCTCCCTGGTTTTTCTTATTTGGTTGCTGGAGTTGAACTATGACTTTAAAATGGTTAGAATTTTTTTCTTTTAAAAAAATGATATATTAAACTTATGTACAGGATAGTTAGCAAAATGTAGAAAGGGAAAACTGTACAAAAGACAGATAAAAACCATCACTCTGACAGAAACTCACAATCCAAAAATAGTATAAACCTTAAGAAACCATCTCTAAACCTGCTCCTAATCCCCACTTTTGCTGCAGAGAAGAAAATACAGCAAACTAGCGGACCTAGTCATTGCATTCCTTAAAAACAGGCTTGGCTTGCAGAGCACAATTAAGTCTGGGATCAATTTTTAAACATGACAGGGACAAACAGTAGAGCGATTTTCATTTGTCCACTTAGTACTAATGAACAGAACAGAGAGGGAATTAAATAGTTCTTGGTGCTCTACATTTATTCAGAAACCTTTTTGTTTTTCTGCTGGTTTCGGGGCGAGTTCTTTAACAAGTTTCTTATCCTGAGATACATTCCAGTAGATTCCGCCATATTCTCAAATTCAAAAGGAGTTATTCCTATTGCAAACTTGCTCATGTCAGGGATGGGGCTGTGAGTTTTTGTGCTGGTGGAGGGACTAGTGCCCGGGTGGAGGAGCTGCTGGCTGCCCCCATTACTAATGTCACAGTTTGACACATTGCCATTATCAAGAGGAGCACCTTCAGAGCCAACCTCTTCCTTTTCCTTTGGACAGAGCAATGCAGCCTCCATAACTGGGCTCGCTGAGGAATGTTCAACTTCAGATTTCTCTGTGCAAGTGCTGGGCACCTCGGCTTCTGCAACTGACACTTGCTTTTCAGATGGCTTTCCCTCAGGTACAGGGAGGTCTAGTTCGTTGGGACAAGGTGAAGAGGCAACCGAGTTCCCAGTTAAAGGTGTGTCCACAGGAAAATCAGAATCACTGTTGACGCTCTCAGCCTGCTCGAGGGCTGCCCATATCCGCCTCTGCTGCTCTTCAAGTTCCTCCAGAGTCAGGGCGTCCTCATCCATGGCTGCAGAGGCTGCTCGGGTCTGAGGTGAGTCATTGGGAGTCATCGGAGGGGTGCCTTTGGGGAGAGGCGGTGTGAAGATGGGAGGTGTGCCAGGTGGTAGTGGCGGTTGGAACTGAAAAGCCTCACTGCTCTGAGACCCATGGGGTACCTCTCCATCTGAAAACAAGGACATTATGAGGCAGGTTAGAAGGTGTAAGAACACTTGGGTTTACTCACATTTGTTACTTGAACTAAACAATGTGTCTAGAGATTCAACGGCTGGAGACGAACACTATGGAGACGATTCCCAACGTCCTTGCTGTGGTTGTTGTTAAGTGGCACCGAATCAGCGCCGACTCACAGCGACCCTGTACAGGGTTTCCCACGAGCAGCTGGCGAGTTCAAACGGACCTTATGGTCCAGTGCTGATCCTACAGCGCCACAACAGGACTCCTTAATCCACCTGAAAAGCACTCGGAACGTCACTCAAACCTCTGGGGGATCCGTTTCTGGGCTGCTAATGTCATTTTAGATGGAGGGGCCATGGAGAAAGAGGACGTGCGTGTAAGACCTGAGTAGGAAAAGTGGCTGGAAACACAGACAGGTCACATGACCGAGTAGGGAAGGGGAAGGGGAAGGGGAAAGGGAAGGGGAAGGGGATGGGGCTGCAGAGAAAGATAGGAACAGAACAGGTGATGCCCCTGTCCTGCACCTCTGCTTTAGTACTTTAGCCTGCTCACGTGAACTGAGGACCCCCAGCCCCACTGTTCACTGCCACCACCAGCTCTATGGCCCACCCAGACAACAGATCCAACCTGACCAACACAAAACTTCTCTCCCTCCTTCTTCTTGTTGCTCTCCCTGATTGGCACCATAAGTGATACCTGGCTAAAGTCTCTGAGATCCGCTAATCATTGACATTCCCTGCCACTCCACGTGACCTGGCCAGCATCATTTCGAGTCATTTCAGCTTCTGAACTTACGATCCTGATAGACTGAAACCCGTGGAAGCTGTAACTTGCTGGGACTAACTCGTTTTTTCCCCCATCTTGAAAGTTTTCTGCATTTGACAGGGTGCAGTGTTGCCGCTTTTCTAGTTCTCATTTTAGTGGAAAATAAAACATTTCTCTGACAAGTGTCTGCTTTAAGTGCCAGCATTCTCAGGTTTTACAGTATCTCCTCTCTGACTTGCTAGATCAGCCTTTCTAAGGCACAAATTCAGATCCTATTAACTTTCCTGCTGCAATTAAAAACACTTCAGTGCTCTCCCAATGCCTACAGGATGAGGTCCAAACCCCAGCATATTTCTAGGGCCCTCTCTGACTAAGGGGAGCCCTGGTGGCACTCTGGCCAACCAATTGTCTGCTAACGAAGTCTGACAGTTCAAACCCATGAGCTCCTTGGGAGAAAGATGTAGCAGTCTGATTCTGTGAAGACCGTTGTTGTTGTTAAGTGCCACCGAGTCGATTCCGACCCACAGTGACCCTGTATAGGGTTTCCGAGGAGCAGCTGGTAAGCTTGAACCACAGACCATGCAATTCAAATGGCTTTGCAGTCTGGTGTATTAACCCACAGTGCCACCCCAGGGCTCCTCAGTGAGGATTACCGCCTCAAACACGTCTGGCACAGTTATACTCTATCCAACACGGTCATATTAACCCACAGCGCCACCTCAGGGCTCCCCAGTGAGGATTACTGCCTCAAACACGTCTGGCACAGTTATACTCTATCTGATAAGGTTGTATTAACCCACAGCGCCACCTCAGGGCTCCTCAGTGAAGATTACACGCCCTGGCACAGTTATACTCTATCCTACAAGGTTGCTTTGAGTCGCAATTGACTTGATGGCAATAGGTTTTGGTTTAGTCTCCAACCAAGACCTTTCCTGTTTCTACTATGTCATCTGGCGCAAACTCCAGCTGTCTGCCTGAGGTGTGTGATTTTCATGCCTCTGCACCTGCATTTCTCTGTATCAGATGTCCTAACCCTCCCAACCGACTTGGCAGATCCTTAGATTCACCCTTCAAGATGCAGCTCAAGACTTCTCAGTATGGGGCCCCCATCTCCATCTGACACAGTGGTTCACTTCTCCCTGTCGGTTACCCTTCCATCCTGCAGTCACTTTGATGACAGCTCGCTCTATCATTCTGTCTACACCATGTTAATGTGATCTGTTACATAGGTGGGGAAGAAGGCTGATATTAACCACCTCAGAGACTCTGACATGTGGTTGGCTGGGAACTTGGAGGCAAGACAAGAGAAAATGTGAAAAAAATCAAAGACACAGGACAACAATTAGTCCAAAGGACTAATGGGCCATGAGAACCCCAGCCTCTATGACCCTGAGACTAGAAGACCTCGATGGTGCTGACCACTCCGAAAGGGTCCACAATAGGAGGTCCTTACTAGAGAGGGAGAAAAACATGGAACAACCATCGAAATCATAAAAAAGACTGGGCTTACAGGTCTCACAGAGACTGGTGGAACCCCTGAGATTAGGGTTCATGCTGTTAAGTGCCACCAAGTCAGTTGTGACTCATAGCAACCTTGTAAAGGATTGCTGAGAAGCAGTTGCATGGTTTGAAACATACACATCGCAATTCACAGCCCAATGTCTATTCTACAAGGAGCTCTGTAGTGTAGTGGTTATGAGTCGGGCTGCTAATCTCATGGTCAGCAGTTGGAAACTACTAGTGGTTTCCCGTGAGAAAGACAAGGCTTTCTGCTTCCATAAAGATTTAACAGCTTTGGAAAACCTACATACAGTTGGAACTGATTCTACGGCACATAACCACCACCACCAAGCCTACAACCAAACTCACACCCAGAGTTTAAGTTTTAGTTCTATAAGGCTGTGTGCTATCAAATAGGTTCCGACTCCTAACGATTATGTATAGGTTTTCCCAGGCTGTAACTCTTTCCAGGAGCAGAAAGCCTCATCTTTCTCCCAGTGAGTGGCTGGTAACCCACTATGCTACCAGGGCGGTATACTCCTTAGAGATCAAATCACATGATCAAAAGGGCAATCACATGAGATCAAAAGGACAGCATTTGCCACGGGACAAAGTTCAGAAGGCAAGAAGGGAAAATAAGATGAACGGGCACTGTAAAGATAGGAAGTAGAAAAGTACTGTTGCATGATGGGGACTGCAATCTATGTCATGAATTGTTGAATAGAAAACAAACTTTTACTCAAATCACCACAAAAAAATTAAAAACAAAAACACAACCCTGTGGCTGGGACCAAATAGTGTGGAAAATTAGAGAATATGATGTGTTTGGAAGCTTTAATTGTGGACTTGAAGTCACTTGTGTGGAATAATTAATTTCATTATGGACTTTAACTTCTTTAGAATTTAAGGACTCCCAGTATGGTGCTGTAAGATAAATGCTGGCCTGTTAATCAAAAGATCAACAGTTCAAATACACCAGCAAATCCTTGGAAACCCTATAAAGGGTCACTATGAGTCAGAACTGTTTCCACAGCACTTAACAAGAAGACTTAAGAAGGTTTGACCCTTAATATTTAAATTTTTCCTATAAATTAGAAAATGTAAAGGGAGAGATTCACGTTCAAATTTGAGTTTTATTTATTATTAGAGGGCCTTTGCCCCTTTCTTTGTTGATGTTGCTGTTATATGCTCTCAAGTCAGTTCAGACTCATAGTAACCTTGTGTAGTGTTTCCGAGGAATGGCTGGTTTGAACAATCGGCCTTGTAATTAGTAGGCCAGTCTTATCTTACAGTGTCACACCAAGACTCCTATAAAACTGGCATTTTTTTCATTATTACTGTATCTTTGTACCTTTCACCTTATTGTTGAAATAGAACCACACTTCAGAGCCTCTGACGTGCAGCTTAGGACGAAGGAGTTGGGTGTGATTTGAGATGGACAAGCGAACCAGGAGTGAATTTTAGGCTTGGAAATGTACACAACTTACACAAAGTTTTGGAATCACTTCAGAACCTTTCTGGGTGCAAAATCTCAATTGCCCATCTCAACTAGTGCCAAGGAAATACAAAGAAGCAATGAATGGTATTGGGACATCAAAAAGGACAGAGTGGAACTGTCCCGACACACCACTGGTTGGTTAAAGAAGAATCGCCATAACTTTGGTTGACCACAGGTTCCATGGATAAGTCCACAGTGATGAGAAGAAAAGTTGAGTATCATGGGGTAGGACAGGGTTTCTTCCTAGTCTCTCTTTCTTGGGAGCAGCATGCATCAGCTCTGCCCTCCTTCACCTGGTACTTTTCCACTGCTGGTCCCAGAGCACTGCCCCATCTGAAGGGGCCAGTAAGGATTGAGGAGTTTGGGAATTCAGGTAGCTGCCCCATTTGGCTTTCACAACAGACTTTGGCTTTCAGTTCAGTTTTACTCAGTAATAGTGGCAATGATCTGATCTCCAAAAGTAAGGAAAAAAGGCATTATTCGGGAGAACAAACAAGATGGCGGACTGGGTGGATGTGCAGTGAGGAGCTCCATTAGCAAGAACACAGAATACAGGACCAAGCAGGCTCAGGGGATGGTACCAGAACTCTGAACCACATATAAAGGAATATTTAGAAGGTTGGAAGGCTTACAGCTGGGGGAATTTGTAGCAGAAGCAAGAACTCCATTGCTTTCTAATTCAAGATGCTCAGTTGCTCCTGGAGCTGCCATCTTGGGCAAGACCGAGCGGGGGAAGGATCAGAGCAGCCATGGACACCTGACAGAACCACAGAGATAAAAGTGTGGACGCTTTTTTTTTGTAGCTGTTCACTGGTCTCTCCCTGTCTGCGCAGCTCCATTCTGGTAACTAGAGGGGGTGCCTGAGTGAGTGGACAACCCACTCCCACCCCAACCCCTGGAGGGTTCTACTATACATGCGCACAGATGTTCTCAAAAGTTAAAGTGACAGTTTCCACTTAAAACCAAACAGCAGGACAAAACGGACACAGCCAGCCCTGAACTGTTTATCACTAGGAAAAAGGCCTGAATGAGGATTGTGGAGCGGGACAGATAGATTAAAAAGGAAATAGGCTGAAAATTAAATCCTAAATTATGTCACAACGACCAACAATGGCATCTTGAAACTTCTCAGGAAGAAGACTGAAAAGGGAAGCCCATTTCCTGATCACATTTACCTGGAGGCAATCACAAAGCATTAAAAAAAAACCAAAATACACACCCATCTAAGTATTAAGGCCACAGATAACTCCTGAATATGCTCAAAAAACAGAAGCAGATGACCATATCAGCACATGTCCAGAAACGAAATAAAGTGACTGAGACAAACGAGCTGGAAGTAGACCTACACTCCATACTGAAAGATGGGCAGGCTTTGGAAATGCCTGAGAAGGGATTCAGAAAAATGATTATAAAATGTATCAAAACACTATACAATGAAGTTGTGAAAAATAAGGAAGAAGCCAGGAAAATGCTATAGGAACAATCAAATAAGATAGATACAGCATTGGAAACAATTCAAAACCTAGAAAAGAGGTCCAAACGATTAATAATAGAATATCAGAAATGGACAATACACTGAAAGGGCAAAGGGGTAGAACTGAAGATATGGAAGCCAGAACTAGTGAGCTAGAAGATAAAACTCTCAACACCACTAAGATAGAAGAGCAAGCACAAAAAGGATAAAAAATCAGAAGAAGGCCGAAGATTCATGTTGGACAACATAAAGAGGAATAACTTTAAAATTTATCAGCATTCCAGAACAGGAAGAATCACACAAGTCCACAGAGGAGATAGTTAAAGAGCTGCTGGAAGAAAATTTCCTTAGCATCCTAAAGAGCAAAAGGATAAGCATTCAAGAAGCTCAATGAACCCCCACAAGGATAGACCCCTAAAGAAAATCACCAAGAATAATCAAGCTCTCCAAAATCAAAGGTAAGGACAGAATCCTGAAAACAGCTAGGGAAAAGAAAAATGTAACATACAAAGGCAAGCAAATCAGATTAAGCTCGGACTTCTCAGCAGAAACCATGCAGGCAAGAAGACAACAGGGAGACATATATGAAACCCTGAAAGAAAAACTGCTGACAACCAAGAATCCTCTACCCAGCAAGCTGTCAATCAAATACAAAGGTGTAATCAAAACATTTCAGGATAAATAAAAGCTAAGGGATTTTGCCAAAGCCAACCCTGCTATGAAACACAACCTAAAGGAAGTTCTGTGGACTGAGAACCAATAAGAACAGCCAACAACCAGAGAATGATGTATGTGACAGCATCACTTGGAACTCAATCAACAAACAGAGGAGTCAAAAACAATAAATTATAAGAACAGAGGATCTGGGAGGTCAGTCTATAATCAAAACAATTACAATGCGAAAGAAAGTAAACACAGAGGAACAGAGATCTGTTTCCCAAGGAGCCCCTCTTTCTTATGGAACTCAAAAACAAAACTCAAACCATGGCCACTGAGTTGATTCCAACTCAAAGCGACCCCTAGGACAGAGAACAACTGCTTCACAGGGTTTCTGAGGCTATAATCTTTAGGGGGACGCAGACTGCCTCATCTTTCTCCCACTGCATAGCTAGTAGGTTCGAAATGCGATCCTTCTGGTTAGCAGCCTGATGCTTAACCTACTGCACCACCAGGGCTCCTTCATGGAAGTCAGGGGCATGCATGCACACCCTGGCTTTCCAATGAACTCACAAGCACAGGGCGGAACCTACCTGAGTCGAGTTCCATGTTGGCAGGAGATGCTTCTGAGCTGCTGTCCTTCTTCTGCTTCTTTGGACTGCAAGGACTGGACTGAGAGGAAGACCTCTTACTGCCAGACCTCACATATGGCTAAACGGAGGGACCACACGAAACACAGATTAGGTGGAGTAGACATCCCTTCACTTAAATATGCTAAAGACAACTAGTCAGGGTGACATGAGGATTTTAGCTACCAATGCCTTTGGATTCACCAGCTAACACACACAGAATGCTTTACACACAAACCAAGCAAACGCAGTAAAAAACCCTGAAATTCTTACAGATCTATAAAGGAACCTTTTATAAACCACACTGTGGAAATTTGATTTACCGATTGGAAGTTAGAGGACAGGTAGTTGGCGAATACGTCCCTCTGCTGACATGCCTGCATGGGTATGGAGCCAAACATCCTCCATTCCTGGTGGTGAAGAGAGAAGGATCCACGTTTGCATTTGGAAAATGTAATGCATTAAGATTCTGATGAAATTACGCATTTCCTATTGGACTCTTCCTTTATTGGGATTAAGGAAAGAGACAGTGCTTTGGGTGTGGTGCTGTGGGTTAATGCGCTGGATCACAAAGTCAGTTTAAACTGAAAGGCCTGTGGTTTAAACTCACCAGCTACTCCTCGGAAACCCTATGCAGGATCACTATGGGTCGGAACTGACTTGACGGCACTTACCAACAACGAAAACAATGGTGCTTAAAATCTTGGTGTGGAATTGTGGGATCAGCACTGGACTGCTAACTAATGGTTGGTGGTTCAAACCCACGAGCCAGCCACTCCTTGGGCACCCTATACAGGGTCACTATGAGTCAAAACTGATCTGAAGGCACATTAACATCAACAATGGTGCTTTGAAGGGGAGTAAAAAACACTGAAAAAAATCCTAGCGGATTGATCTGATCAGACCTGGCTACAAAAAGACTCGCTAATAAAAATCACTTGGCCCACAAAGCGACTACCTCTTACAAGGAGACGTTTTAGGCAGTAATGACATAGTCTCTTGTTGGGCCTCACTCCCATCATGTATTTAGTGGTTTAACTGTTCACAGCTCATTTCTCCTTACACATTTACTCTAGCTTAAAACCCTATCCTCTCTTCCTGAATTGAGTTCTAACCTTTAAGGCTTAACAATGCTCATTTTTCTCTCAGTTCCAAAAAGGTTAACAAGCGGTTCTTTTGTTAAAGATTCCGGGGTCTTGTTAAAGTCTAAGGGTGGGGCTCATCATGCATGTGCATTTTAAGTGAGCACCCAGGAAACCTGAATGGTACTTGGATCCATTTCTAGAAGAACTGACAGCTTGTAATCATGCACTGTAGCCCTAATTGTCTAGTGTGTGTTTCTTTAAGTCTCTTCACTGTATGCTAAGTTCAGAATTTGGGCTTTTTCTCTATTCTCCTTTTCTAAAAATGTCCCCAAAAAGTGCATTTTTAAAACTTAAAACACCAAGACAAATAACACAAGCCAATAACACTAATCAGTAAATTTTGAGACACAAGATCCAAGTTTGAAATGTGTAAGTACAGACCATTCTTTTTTTTTCTTATTTTTTGAAGTGAGGGAAGGGCAGTCCAACAAAACATTTGCCAATTCAACCATTTTCTTTTGCGAGGTTTTTGAAAAACTCTTTATTGTGAATTGAGTGAAGGTTTACAGACCAAATCATCAGTTTTACATTAAACAAATCATACTCTTTATTTCAATGATTCTAATCCACTCGATTTAATCAGTTTCCCATTTCTGCTCTATGATTCCTGTTTCCATCCCATCTGCCTTTCTAACCCATCTGAACTTTGTCCTTAGGTAAACGAAGCCCTTTTGATGTTGAATGGTTGACCATTCCATGGTGAGCAAACCTCACTAGTATTGCTGTGTTCCCTCATACACCCTAGCTACTGCATGGCTGAAAATTGAACCTCAAGGGAGACTGAGGACCATAGTATTGGGTTCGTCATTTTCATGTGTACAATGAAGTGACATGAATTATAGTCAGCAGGTTGTGCAACAAACACCACTATCTGTTCCAAAATGTTTTCATCTCCTCCAACAGAAACTCAAGCCCCTGAAACCATAACGCCATTCTCCCATGAAAGCTAATCTCTTTTGGAATAAGACATTTTTATTTTACTTCAAGGGGAAAAAAGGATAGGAAAATCGTATACTGTTGTGCCTCTGAGTCAGTTCTAACTCCTAGTGACCTTGTGTAGGGTTTCAAGGCTTTTTAAATCTTTGCGGGAACAGAATCCCTCATCTTTCTCCTGCGGAGCCGTTGGTGGGCTTGAACCACGTACTACAGGGTTATTAAAGAATTCACTTCACAAGTAATTCTATAAAATTTGTTATAGTGCCTCAGAACCATCCCAGTTTTAAAAATAAAACCACTACCAAAACCCGCATTTTATTTTAGTATAGTTTTCAGATATATAAAAAGGTGCAAGACTAGTAAAGAGTTTTCCTGGACACCTCACAGTTGCCCACATTGTTAACGTCCTAGATTCATCCCAGATTCTAAAGTCTTTAACTTCTAACAGACATTCAAAAGTTTACACATTTTCTTAATCTTGTGAAAAGCAAATAGAAGCATGGCTTCAAAAAGTTTATAGGGAAATGGAATGAAAAGATAAAACTCATTTTCCACAAACTTTTTCAAGCCCCCTCATATAATCAAATTTGGAAGATGAATCTCACCATTTGATTTCACCTCCATCCTACCTACCTCTGTACCTACTTCTTATGTAACAATAACTGTTATATAAGCTAACATGCAGAACAATCTTTAACATAATCGTGTGACACCTCAGAACACAACACACACACAATATACTTACATCTGGAATTCCTCTGGGAGTAGATATATTAAAACCTGGATAGTTTACCAATTTGGAGAGATCGTAAGTAACGCTTTTATTCTGTTGGACTTCTCCGGTTTCTGCTTCCCCATCTGCATCATCTATTGTAGACCAAATAACGTTTGTTACTACTACCAGGCAACAATACAGGATAGCCTGAATGCTAGCAAGACTTTGGGAGACATTCAGAGAACCGAGGATTTCTTTGGTGCTATCTGGAGAAAGATGAGGCTTTCTACTCCCGTAAGGATTTACACCCTTGGAAACCCTGTACAGGGTCGCTATGGGTCGGAACCGACTCGATGGCACTTAACAACAACAACAACATCTGGGGAAGAGGGTGGGACTGGTAAAAAAAAATCTGTTTTGATATTTTTCTTTTTTATTACCAAAGTAACCCATACATATTTTCATTTTTAAAACACTGAAAGCATTAGAGATAAACTAAAGTCCTTTGCCCAATCCTCTCTCCTTTCTGAGCACAAACCACTGCTGAGCTTGTATATAATAGTTCAGACCTTATAAGAGTACATTTATATACACAAGTCTTCTGAGAGAGCAAAGCACTGTTTCATCTGTGTTCATCTGTGAATTTAATGCAATTCTTTGCACTAAAAAAAAAGGTAGGAAAAGTTTACACTTCAGCTGACTTATCTAACCTGAAATACCGTACCATTTCCATCATATAGCGCAAGGCCTGAATTCTCCAGTTCAGCCTCTTTGAGCCACCCTGGTGGGTATCCCAGCTGGCGCATTCGATATATAAAAGGTGGAAGACTCTTGTCGGTCACACCAAGTGCATCTTGAAGTTCCTCACTAGAGCAAAATAAAAGGTCTTATATTACATTCTTTAGAAAAATTTTTATCTTTGAATTTCCATTTTGCATGAACATTTTGAAGCTCCATTGTAGATGGCATACACACAGTTCAGAAAGCAACAAATGTTTCTGAATGAACTGATATATTTTGTTAGGCTTTGGTAGGGTCTATTTTTATGCTGATGATTATCTATCTATAGACCCTTTATCAAGCAGAATGATGTTTCAAATACTAGGGGGGAAAATGACAGGTCTATGGTCCTGGTGAGGCACTACAGGATAAGCACCAGGCTGCTAACCAAAAGGTCGGCAGTTCAAACCAACCAGCCCTCCCTCTCTACACAGTTGTCCCTATGAGTCAGACCCGATTTGATGAAACACTGAAAATAAACACAATGGTAAAATGAAGGCAGTACCTAATAACTCCTGGCTTGAATCTCCCAAACCTTTCCTCAACTTCTTCCGCATGGTACCGCTGCTGGAAGTTTTGATTAGTTGCTTCCCCACACGCATCCATATACTCTTTTCTCTTTTCACTTATTCGAGCAGCATTCCGAGGCTAAATCATAGTAAGACAGAAAAGAACCGATATTACGTCAAAAGCATAATTTAGAAATATTTCAGAAATTAAAAGTAAGTACATTTTTTTAGGCCAAGCAAACAATTTGTTCAGTTTCAATACAATAAGGTACAATGTGTACAAAAAAGAGGGGCTATTTCAGAGAAATAAGCAAGAAAGGAGAACTGCTTTAATTTCTCATTTCCTCAGTATTATTTGAAAAACATGATTTTGTGTCATGTGTCTAAAAATATTTTTTTGACTAAACGGCCAAAAAACCCAAACTCTTATTATGTTACATGAATACTGTAATACTTTTTTAAAAAACAGAAAAAAATTCATGTTTTAAAATACATGTGGGAATTTGAAAACATGGCAAATGAAAGAATTACAGGAAAGTAATGCAGGAAATCTCTCTGGATTGCAGAGCTCTGCACAATAATCACTAAACTGCGAACCAACCACAAGGTCAGTAGTTCGAGCCCATAAGCCTCTCTGTGGGAGGAAAGATGAGGTTTTCTGCTCCTGTATGATTAAAAAGCCCTGGAAACCCCGTACAGAGCGGTGAGGAGTTGGAACAGATTTGAGGGCACTTAAAAACAAAAAACAACAACATACATGTGTTGAAAACAACAGAAGATCCCAATTCAATGACATTTTCTTAACATGAGAAAAATTTACCATTGGACAATCTTTCATTTGATGCTCTTCCGAACCACAATTGAAACAGTGAGGCTTTGGCCTATTTGGTCAAAAGATAAAAGATTTTCAAAAGGTAAATGAAAGTATATAAAAGCACATCAATAAAATTCTGTATGACAATAAAGTATATCAGTGACAAGAGAGCAAACAGATCGGAGATGACTAAGATCTGCAACAATAATAATAATATGCACTTCATAGTATGGTGCACAGTCTTTTAACCAAGAACCCTCATGTTCCTGACGTGATCTGGTTCCTTTTTAGGTTTTTACAGTGGTTAATAACAGAAGAATTGACGTAAACAGATAATCAGAGTTCCTTAGTAGCAGAAAGAGGGTAGACGGTTATAAGACAGCAGGTCAACTGTCAGCAACAATTACACCTTTCCGCCCACCCAGGTACATTAGTCATGAATCAATGAATTCCAATAAACAGATGACGGACTTAAATCTATACAGTACAAGCCTATCTTAATCTGTAATTTGCTTTACAGTAAGCCAGTCATAAAAAATATTTACATTTCAAGTTTAAAGCCTTTATGGTTTTGGTTTAAAAAAAACAAAAACAAAAAAACACAAGAACAAAGCAAAATTACTCCCCAAACAAACCTTTTTGCCTTTACTTGTATCTCTTGCCCTTCTAGAGAAACAATTTGGCTGAAGACTTGCTGGTACCTTTAGTGAATTTTATTAAGGAATAGTTATAGTCTGCAAAATCTGGTAAACATATTTTTTTTGTAAACGTGAACTTAATAGCAAGGTGCATAAGAGATCTTCATTCATTATGTAGGATACTTGGGTATCTCCCATCCTTCCGTAAGCTGAGGGTTTTCGTTTAGTAGAGGTTGCCCCAATTTATCAAGGCAAAAATTAGTAAAATACAGGACACTTCCTACAACCTGCAGAAAACAAGTCAGAAGATATCGCTATTTAAGCAAGAAAAAAAGACATTGAATAATGTTAAGACTATGATTAATTGCCTTTAACAATTTACTTTTGGATAACATTATCAACTCAATGACATGAGTCAGATTTCAATGTGTACGTAGAAGGGATATCTTCAAAGTCCCTTCTCTTTCCCAGATCAAGTTTCCCCTCTCTGCTGCTATACTTTCTTCAGACGTACAACAAAGAACGAACAAAATGAACACTCTGGCTTTCACAATTTCCTCCAGTCTCCCATTTCCATAAGTCCCTTTTGCAGTGAAGTTTCAGGAAAATTGTCTATGTTTAATGTTTCCATTTCCTTTCCTCCTATTCTCTCTCCCTTTTCTTTCGCCTCCAAATTGTTTTAGAAAACATGCCACACAGTAAAGTTGAAAGACTGGTACAGTGCACAGAAGTACCCACCCCCTTGATGCAACCATTGTTTTTAGTCTGCCACAGTTTTGTGCATGTCTCTGTTTATACAGTTTACCACACACACACTTTTTTTTACTGAGCTATCTGAAAGCTGCAGACCTCATCACCCCTAAACATTTTAGTATGTACAAGGAAGCTTTACAATATCCATGGCAAAATTCCTTAGTCTTTAGATTCCATTTTTCCTCAAATGTTTTGAAGTCCCCACCTATATAAGAATAGGAACATTCTCTTACAAACCACACTACCATTATCACACCCGAAAAAAATGACACTTCTCCAATATCATCGAACGTCCAATCTAAATCATTTTTCACAGTTGTTCCCAAAATGCCTTTCATAGATTTTCTCCCAAAACAGGATTTAACTGAAGCTCATATACCGCATTTAGATGTTACAGCTTTTTAGTCTAGTTTAATCTAGAATAGTCTCCCCCACTTTTTTTTACAGACACTGCCATTCCCTAGTAACTTCTCTAGCATAGTCTCCATTCCTATCACCTCACTAAGCTTCTTGGCAATGCCTTCATCAATTGCCCCAATGAAGTCCAGTTCAATGGAGAGTCCTGTCTTCATCTTACTCAACCTATTAGCAACAACTGCCTTAGCTGAGTGAGTCTCTCTTTCTTCTGGAAACATCATCTGACATTGTTCTCTCCATTCTCTTCCTGGCTTTTTGGCCACTCCTGCTCAGACTTCTTTGCCAGATTTTCTGTATGCTGGAGTGTCCAAAGGCCCAGTTCCTATACCTTCTCTATTCTTCAACTCCTATGTGATTTATGCTGATCCATGGAATGAAATAAAATAGACATACTGACAACCCCCAAATGCCCAGTCCTGACCCCTCCACCCCTCCTAAAACTCTAATCTTGTGTATCCAATGGTTGATTTGATAGATCTCCCTGAATATGTAACAAGTATTTTTCAAACTCACATATTGAAAACCAAACTAGCTTCCTACCTCCTCCAAACCCAGTCCTCCCTTCAATCTTCCCAACACAGGAAGAGGCAATTCCATTCTTCCAGGTGCTCAGGCTAGAAACCTGAGTCATTCCAACTACTCTGTTCCTGTTTCTAGTCAGTTCATCAACAAATGTGATGAGCTCTCCTTACTTATATCTTCAAGCCCTAACTAACCACTTCTCATCCCCACTAGCCCTATACTAGTCAAAGTCAACATTGCGTATTGCTAACTAGGGTTCCAGTTTCCACACTAGGGACATTTCCACACAGAAGCCAGTTATTTAAAAAGTTTGTCATACCATGACCTGTCTCCACTTACAACCCTGTAATGTCTTCTCATCTCACTCAAGTAAAATTCCAAGTCCTCACTATGATTTATGAAGAAACCTAAAGATTCAGAATCTAAGACTCTGGATTCACACAGCCTGAATTCAAACTCTGGCCCTGCTACTTAGCTTTCTAAGGGTTTCCTCATCTGTAAAATGAGTGGTATATTCAACTAGAACTGTACTTAGTACACAGTGATCAAAATGGAAGTGTTAGCTTCTCCTCAAGGCGTTTGCACTTAACGTTTGCTACTGCCCAGAACACTGTTCACTCAGCCAGCAGTATAGAATCACTTCCTCAGCTCACCCAGGGCTTAGCTCAGTGAGGCTGCTGCTAACCCCTCTTTGGAAAAGCACCTGCCCCCACAGGCACGAACTCCTTATTTCGCTTTACTTCGCTTCAGTGTACCACCTCTCCCACTAGAACGCAGTTCCAAGACAACAGGAACTTCATCTAGTTTTTCCTATTGCTGTGTCCCTGGGTCCTAGAACAGTCCCTGATATACAGCAGCATTCAATCACATATATAAGAGTTTTTGCTAAATAACTAAATCAAGAAACGTAATTTCCAATTTCCAGGTAGCTGTCACTTTAAATCCCAGACTCTGAGAGTTAGAAGGGTAATGAAGTTACCTAGTTCAAAATCAGGAATTTTTCTTTAAAATACCCTGATGCATCTTAGTCTGACTCCTTGCAGTAACAGGGAGTTCACTTCTTTATTTTTAATGATCCCTAAACCAAAACCAAAGGCGCTCTGGTAGCGAAGTGATTACGAATCGGGCTGCGAACCTTAAGGCCAGCAGTTCGAGACTACTAGGAGCTCCGCAGGAGAAAGATGAGGCATTCTGCTCCTGTAAAGATTTACAGCCTCGGAAACCCTGTACAGGGTCGCTATGGGTCGGAACCGACTTGACGGCACTTAACAACAATAAACCAAGACCAAACCTCCTGCCACTGAGTTGATTCCAACTCATACCAAGCCTAAAGGACAGAGTAGAACTGCCCCTGTGGGTTTCCGAGTCTGTAAATAAAACTTTATGGGAATAGACAGCCTCATCTTTCTCCCGAGGAGAGGCTGATGGGCTCAAACTGCTGACCTTGCAAATAGCAGTCCATCGCATAACCCTCTTTGCCCCCAGGCGTCCAATGAGACTTACCACTTTGTTTTTCACATTCCTTATTCAAGAAACTTTTGCTTTCTAAGTTATGTTGTCAAGTACCTCCTTGTACGCAGTTCAATCACTGGCCTAATTCTGCCATGTGGCATTATACAGGATGATCTAAAACAATACCATTTCCAAAGAATAACTTTTATCATATTTTCTGAAATTTCATATCCCTAGAAAACATGCTTTTCAGTAAGGTTTGTGGGCTCTTCATCAACTCAGGATGTTTAAAGATAAGCACTGTAGGGTAAGCACTAGATTGCTAACCTCAAAACCAGTGATTCAAACCCACCAGCCACTCCTTGGAAACCCTATACAGTGTCGCAATGAGATGGAACTGACTCCATGGCACTTAACAAGAAGAATCTACTCTGTTCAAATTTTTGCATTTCAAACTTCCCACCTGTTCTATGAGCTGGTTATCCCTCAGCTTCATGCCACTTGCAAATTCAACAAACTTGCTTTCCATCTTTATCCATGCCCTCGAAAACAAATCCAAAAAAGCCAGGGCAAAAACATCTGTCAAAGCATGCCGACTGTGCCCCAAAGCACAAAATGCAATAGTTATTAAAAAGTAGACTATAATATTCAGAGTCTACAGGCTATGCTGTTGTTTATAATAACTTTACCAAAAGAATGTTGTGATCACTGATGACATACAACTGTACTAATTTATTACCACTCTAGAATTTAAATGCCACCCAACTGCCATAGGATGGGAAACAGGCCTGCAGAATTCAAAATCAAATTGTCCAAACTTACACTAAAAGCTTCCTTGATATTTTTAACAGCACAGCATTCTTCTACTTTATGGTCTTCTTCCAATACAACACTGGACGGCTAATACAAAGAAAAACACACATGTTACAAAGGATTACCAATATCTGACAATCTTACATTTCAATGCTTAGGAATTTGAAAACTTTATTTTCTAAAAGATAACAAAAGGGATATATAATATTTTGGAACCATCACTGTCAAAATTACAGTAAATTTAGAGGTTAGTTAAACTAGGAATGTCTACGGAAGGAATTTCACAAGTTGGATATTAGAGAAATTACAGAGCATCTGCAGACACTATAACTTTTGTGTTCATGAATATTAATTATGGAACTTTCAACACTTAAAATGGCCAGGGACTTTGTTTATCTTGAAATCAGATAACTAGTATGATTACAAATTAGATCATTTCAGATTAGTGGTCAGTATTGATGCTAATAACAACTCACAAGGCACTATAATACTCTGAAGTGCTCTCTGAATCAAAAATTAAGTAATTTTATATTATGGTTTTTATTGTTAAATGTATTCTGTTCCTTGAGCCTCTAAATATTGTATTTGCTATGCTAGTGAAAAGCAATGAGCAAAAAACTTCAAGAGAACACTTCATTTTCCAACCTCTGAGGAACAATAGCTAAAGTCTTTCTTTTAGGTTGCTCTACAGACTCTACTTACCTTAATTTTAACTAAAAAATAAAACCAGAAAATACAATTCTGACTCATTTTTACATAAATACATGATGTAATGTTCACCTAGATGAAATTCTGAGATTTCTTTGGACACACTTGATTTTCTTTTAAACATGTGAAAGGAAGAAAAACAAAAGAACGTATCTGTAGTATCACAGACCAGGAGCCGATCACTGTTACTTTACAATAATTTCTAAAAGGACCCTTTCTTTTACAAATTCAAAAAAAAAAGTGGTTTTTTTTCTGGCCTGAAATTAATTTTCTGCCTCAAACCCATGTGCTAAAGCTTTACTTTTGAATATAGCGGGTTATCATAGGACTCCCCTGGCCAAAGGAAGCACAGTCCAAAAGACAGTCAAGTGGCTGGGGTGCCCAGAATGTGAGGAAGGAGGCCAGTTCGAGGGTGGGAGGTGAACAGAGAAGCTTAACAAACATTTTGGTTTTGATTCAAGAGGATCCCTGCAGACAACTAATTGCCAGTGAACAGAATAGCCTACTGATTGAAAGTCTCTTAAGTATGAAATACCTGGGGCAAAAGATTAAAGGAAGTCTTTTCCACATCATTTTTCTGCTGTTCCTCAAATCTTTTTACTAAATTTGATACAAATTCCTCTATTTCTTGATGATATTGCCTGCATAAGAGGACAAAATGGTCAGAACCCAAACATAGAACAACATTTACTTGACTGAAGTCTTATGCATTTTATAAGAGGTGATGTGTAAACTGTATTTTGTTGATCAGAGGTTTATAAGATCACAGATTCTTTTAAACACTTGGGAACCTATTCCTTCAGAAAAGATGCACATTGGTGTTCAGTGAAAGAAATTAGGATACTCTAGCAGGGTGCCTGCTTGGCACAGAATGACAGCCACATATATGTTTAGAGAAAAAAAGATGATTTTATTTTAAAATTTTATGTATTTGATTTGCAAATAGAGAATACATATCAGCAGTTGAAAATTCAAAAGACAGGAAGAAAGTTGACGGAATGAGGTTTTCTTATCCTTCCTACCTTGTCTCTTAATCATCAACTTCTAACCAATGTATTCAGTTCTTATATAGCCCCCACCTGGATTCTTTATGCACAAACATACAAGAAAACACTCATTAAACAAAAAATAATAACAACAACAACAAATACAAGAAAAAAAATCAGAGGACTGCTTTCTCTAGTCAAAAGCCATATTCATGAAATACTCTTTATTGCTCACTCTACGGGGCCTTGTTGGCCACAACATACAGAATGATCTGCCCCTTCCCAGACTACATGATCTTTCAGCTCTGACAGTCTTAAGATATTTCCACAGGTGAGATACCAGGTAAATGGTGTTGTAGCAGAATGCCACAAGTCACAGTGGGTAGAGATGACATTCTAATGGAGAAAACAGTACGAGGGACGGGTTGTGCGTAGCCTTGCTGTTGCTGCCATCCCGCGTCCCCACCCCCTACAGACTCAGGTTCTACTTCAGCTGAGATGAAGTAGGTAACAACCTGGCATACAAGTTAACACTGGACAACATTCTCTTTACCCCTGCTCGGCATCTAAAATGGTAATCTGATAAAGTGCTTCAGAGGGGGCAAGCAACTGTCTGAAATGTCTATGGCCATGCTCTGAGGAAGGGACAGGGCAAAGCCTCAAACCATTTCAAGACACTCTGGCAAACACTGCAGGACTGCAAGGAGTCACTCCAGACTCAAGCACGCTGGAAGGTTTGCAAAGATCTGGTTTTGATATTTAGAAAATCATCTTGTGGGCAAGTACTGAACACAGCCAATATGCAAAACCCAGTTACCTGATTTGGGAAGAGAAACTACTAATGTTATTGTGCTTTGTTTCTGTAGCGGTTGTTTATTAGAGGTTATTTAGTGAGCAGAAGGAAACCTGGTGGGGCAGTCATTAAACGTGTGGCTAACCAAAAGGCTGCTGTTCTGAACCCACTAGCTGCTCACTCCATGTGAGAAAGATGGGACACTCTGCTTTTTTTAAAGATCATAGCCTTAGGAACTCCACAGGGCAGCTCTACTCTATCTTACAGGATTGTTATGAATCAGTATCAACTGCATCAAACCTGACAGCCTCCGGTTTGCTTTTTTATTTACTGGGTTCTTTGTAGTTGTCAGTTGATGCTGAGTTGAAACTGACTCATGGTGACCTCAAGGGAGAAGGCAGTGTGGAAAGGACTCCATAGAGTTCTCAGGAGTTGCAAGGCTTTTAGAAGCAGATCACCAGGACTCCCCGAAGTGTCTCTGGGTAGATTTGAAATGGCAAACTTTCAGCCAGCAGTCCAGTGTCTAACCATTTGTGCCACCCAGGAACACCTACAGGTGCTTAGTTGAAATTCAGATCCTGTTTTCTGCCTGCGTGGAAACAAACCTACAGAGAGGTTCAGTGGCTTGTTCAGGTTCACAGGTGAAGAGAGTAGACGCCTAGATTCAAGTTCAGGTCTAAACTGATGCCGGTGTCTTTGCGCTCTCTGTATATTTCATAAATTTTAACTCCAGGAACACTTTAGTGAAAGATTTTAGGTGCGAATGAAAACAGCAATTCTATAGAAGATATCATACATAGACACATTATATTTAGGAAAGAAAAAAAAAATCACTTACTTTGAAATAGCATTGTTCATAAATAGAATCTGTAATAAAGGTCCATCTAATTTAGTATTGTTCACCAGTATTCCACTAAAACAGAAGTTAAAATATATTCTTAGAAGATATAAAGTAAAACGTCTCTATGTACTGTAAACACATCATCATTTGTAAGTAACAAGGAGCAAACAATTTTTACAAAAAGGTCAAGAACCAGTAAGAACACCAGCTTTCTCCAGAAAAAGAAAATGTTTTCACCAATCCTACATACTCTAAGCTGTTTGACACAGAGACGTTCATTATTTAACATATTTCTAAAATGTTTTACCAGACAGAAAAGGAGGGAATTTCTGCTAGGAAGACTATAGGAAATGGAAACCCTTTATAAAATGGCTAGGCTCTTAAAACGCAGCACACATTGCATGAAATATCTCAAATTCAAGATTCTAGAACAGAGACTAAAAATTATACTGCTGCTAGATGTGACTTTCAAAATGCTGCAAAAATAAACCTAGAAGGCAGCCTGGAAATCTGCAATATATATCCCTTTGGCAACCTGGGACCGGCTCAATTTCTGACTCCTCTTCTTCTCACCTGCCTCAAGTATTCCTCTGCCTGTCTAGCAAGAGAAATCTAACAGCCTGGATTTCGAATTATTCACAGCAAAAAAATAGTAACAGTAACATTAAAATATGAAAAAGTTCAGGACCTTGTTTCAATGTGAACAAACTCTAGTTTTTAAAAATACATGTTTGTTTTTCTAAAAAAGATGAAAGACTTCCAATTATGACCATTTAGAAGATAAGGATTAAACCCATGAACTTCATGATAAAGTGTGATCCAAATTATTCTATTTCTCATTCTTACTTGGTTTTCCGGAGAGCGTCTTCTCAGCCTGGCAGTATGGAAGTTACCAATTCTAGATAAACCTGTTCGTGATGCTGTTACTTCCTTATTGAAAATTACCACGCCTTATGATGCTGTAATCATTTAAACTCAGGGGACAAAACACCCTTTTCTTATATATAGTTCATGTTTGAGCAATCAATTCCAGTAGAAAATGTGTGCTTACTGATGTATCTTCAAATCTATGATTTTTACAAGGAGTCAGTTATATTTAATATCTAATAAAAACGAATTTAGAGCCACAGAATGTGCTCAGAGGAATGAAGGATAGGGCATAGTCAAGTTATTTAGAAATACTTCAAACTTTTAAAAGTTTAAATTGTTATCCCAGCTGGTATCAAGGACAAAAAAGTATGCTAGGAAACTAGATCATGGCAGTCTCAAATTCAGTATGCTTGAGAATACTTTTCAACATAATGAATTTTCACTTTAACAATAGTTTTAGATTTAGTAGTCCATTAAATGAATATAAAGAGCTCTGGTGACGCAGTGGTCAAGTGCCTGGCTGCGAACTGGATGGTAGGAGGAATGAACTCACCAGCCGTTCTTAGGGGGGAAGACGCAGTTGTCTGCTTGGTTAAAGACTGACAACCATGAAACCCAATGGGGCAGTTCTACTCTGTTCTACAGGGTTGCTAAGAGTTGGAATCTACGAGATGGCAGAGGGTTTGGTTGGCAAACGAATGCATATTAATGGGCACCGATATTTAATTTTCTTTTCAAAGCAGATGCTGGGATAAAAATCTACTCCCTCTACTTTTATAAAAAGCCTTTTACTTTCTCTTCTTTAAAGTACCATGTCTTACATTGTTTGTACTTCTGAACAACCCCCCAGGGTACACATTTTAACTTTGTAAATTAGTCTTCAGCTAGAGCAACACTGTAATTTCAACTATACCTTTCCAGAAATGCATATAGGAGATCTAAGGGCTGACCACTGTACTGTTGTAAACATAAGTCAAAAATTTCAGGATTTTCCACCCAATAAATCAGTTTTAAAGCTCAGTGCAGAGTTAGAAGAATTAAAAAATTAGATGAAAGAATCAGCACTCTCACTTCTTTAAAATAATTGAGAAATAGTTAAAGATACTGAGCGAGTAAGTAAGTATATAAAAATTTGAAATACTCCTTTTACAAAGAAAGTGATTAGATCAAAATATCAGGATAAAGAATAAGGGATAATGAGTTCATTTCAAGATGTCATACCTTGGTCGAGTCAGAATGTTCAGTTTTCTTTTAAGTTTTTGATGTTATTACTTGTTAAGGAATATAAACCATCATTAAAATGTAAAGCATTGCACAGATCATAAAATTCAACTAGGAACTCTCACTTTTACATGAGTGTCATAAACATTAAAAGACCCACACTTATCTTCCGAAAAATACATTTACCCTGTTTTGTTGGTAGACATATGTACTGAAATATTTAAATTTTCATTCCTCTGAACATATATTCTAAGACATGGGCAAGCGACTTTAAAAGAGACTAACGGAATGAACCCCAAAACCTTACACAAATATCATATTCCAGTCAAAAGGTAAACAACCAATTATTACTTAAGAAAAATTTCAAAGTTGCAGAATCATGAGGTGTGACATTAAGCAAATACAATCTGGCAAAACATTAACTGAAGGATTCAGGATGGAATTTATGATGTTCTCTGTACATCCCTTTCAGCTTTTCTGTATTTTGAAATTTTTTCTTAATAAAATGTTGAAAAAGGCATCATAAAAAGAATTAGAAAACCTTTAAGATGAACTTTAATGTTTCCTAAACTTTCAGTTAAAACTTTTAAATCTATTTGAATCGAAACTACATGTATGACAAAACTAAAGATGTGAAACCCCATAAAAATACAAACACACACGCAAATCTAGTTAGAACTTGTTAGTAACTGAAAGAACACGGAAACGTATTTGGCGCGTTTTTCCTAAAGCGTGACAATCTAGCTTCACCGAAGCCAGCCCAAGTGTAAAAAATTAAACGAATACCAATCCTTCATCAAGCTTTTAACCACGTTTTTTTGCTGGCATGCCCGGAACTCTGAAACCCCTCAATTCTGCACTAGCTTTTGCCCTACCATAAAACCAGATCTGAGCCCAGATCTAAGTATCCGGTATCTCTTACTTGAAACTATAACGTGACTATTACACAACTTTAGCTTGGAGGGAGGTGGGGAAGAAGTACTATGAACATTGGTGAACATTCAACAATGCAATCGCCGGAACAATCAGGAAAAACCACCAAAAAAAAAAAATTTTTTTTTAAAAACAGCGAGAGGAGTAAATCCAGTCCGGGGTAGGGATCGCGTGTGGCGCCGAAGCCCGGAGCAGCTTAAGAAAGAGGAACACCAGCTTCTCAGGCCGCCTGCGGGCCCAGAGGGACGACTTGGAATTCTGGCCCTGTTGGAATTTCCGCCGCCCCAGTCCCCGAGGAAAGCCCCGACCGTCGCCCGTGTGACAGGGCCCAGCGAGCGGGAAGGATATTCTCGTCCCGCAGCTGCTCAATGGTGTCCTCGCACTGCCGAATGCGCTCCCGCATCTCCACGTCGCCAACCCCATTCTCTTCCGCTTCCTCGTCGTCGTCGTCGTCCTTGAAACGGGTGTGAACGGGCGTCGGAATCGACTCCTCGGGGTGGTCAAACGCCTCGAACAGCTGTAGATCGCCAAAATCCAACTCCGCCGCCATTTTGAAATGGGGGAAAGATTCGAAAAGAGGCGGAGCCGGCCCGGCGCCCGGGGCGAAGGTTGTAGGGCGGCACCGCTTGCTGGGGATCCGGCCTCAGTAAGCCACGCCGTAGGGTTTCTCCAAACGTAGGCCGCCGAGTGTGTGCTAGGGATGGTCCAGTCCGGAGACTACCACGCCCAGAATGCAATGGATTCTTCTACAGCCACTTCCGAGAGTGCTAGGGAGCAAGGCATTCCGGGACTTGTGGTTTCTAAGCGACAGTTCATTGTTTGCATTGCATACTGGGATTGGTCCTTTTTAACCACGAAGAAAGCGTGAGTAGATCAGAATATCTTATAGTGTAGGTTGTCTTTCTTGTTCGTCAGGCTGAAAATTCTGAGTCCGACGAATGGTTTATCACAGATTCTAATGTGCTTGCTAAACAGCAGCAAGGAACTAAGAAACTCCAATTTTGCCAGGCTGTTAAGTGCCCTCGCATAGGTTCTGAGTCAAAACGACCCTGCAAATAAAGGATTTCCGAAGAGCAGCTCGTGAGTTTGAACTGCCGACCTGTGCTTCAAACCAACTTTGAGGTCCAGTGCTTATCCGACAGCACTAGATTGTTACACTTGTGCCCAATGCTGTTGCCACTATACCAATCCATCTCGTTGGGGGTCTTCCTCTTTTTTGTGCACCCTCCACTTTACCACACATGATGTCCTTCTCCAGGGACTAGTCCCTCCTGACAATATGTCCAAAGTATAAGAGATGAAGTCTTGCTATCCTGACTTCTAAGGAACGTTCTGGCTGCACTTCTTCCGATATAGATTTGTTTGTTAATCTGGCAATATATTGTATTTACAATATTCTCCAGCACCACAATTCAAATGCATCAATTCTTCTCCGGTTTTCCTTACTGGTTAGCCAACTTTCACTTGTATTGAATATACACCTTGGCTTGAGGCAGGCACACCTTAGTCCGCAAACTAACATCTTTGCTCTTGACACTTTTAAGAGGTTTTGTGAGACAGATTTGCTTGATGTATTACATTGCTTGCTTTCATGGATGTTGATAGGGGTCCAAAACAAAGTGAAGTCTTTAACGACTTCAATGTTTTCTCCGTTTATCATGATGTTATTTATTGGTCCATTGGTGAGGACTTTTGTTTTTACAGTGAGGTGCATCCTATATTGAAAGCTGTGGTCTTTGATCTACATCAGCATTTTAAGTCCTTTTCACTTTCAGCAAGCACGTTTGTGTCATCTGTATATCACAGGCTATTAATGAGTCTTCGTCCAATCCTGTTGCCACGTTCTTGATAAAACCAGTTTCTCAGCATACAGATTGAATAAATAGGGTATAAGAATACAACCCTGGTGCAAACCTTTCCTGCTTTTAAACCATTGAGTGTCCCCTTGTTGTTTGATGATTACCTCTTGGTCTATGTACAGGTGCCTTACAGCACAATTGAGTATTCTGGAATACCATATGTTGGCCATAACTTGTCATGATCCACACAATCAAAAGTCTTTGTGTTGTCAATAAACTACAGGTAAACAACGTTCTGGTTGTTCTCTCTTTTCATCCAAGATCCATCTGATGTCAGCAATGATATTCCTTGTTCCACATCCTTGTCTGAATATCTGGCTTGAACCTCTTGACAGTTCCCTGTCAATGTACTGGGCAGCCGTTTTTTACTTATCTCTAGCAAAATTTTACTTGTATGTAATATTAAAGATATTGTCTGATTATGTCTGCATTCTGTAGGGCCACCTCTCTTTGGAATGGGCACAAATATAGATCTCTTTCAATCAGTTGGTCAGTTGAGCTGTCTTCCAAATTTCTTAGTATAGATGAGTGAGTGCCTCCACTACATTAATTTGTTGAAAGATTTAAATTTGCATGTCATCTTTTCCCGGAGTCTTGTTCTTTGCCAATGCCTTCAGTGTACCTTGAACTTCTTCCTTCAGTACCATTGGCTCTTGATTATATGCTATTTATTGAAATAGTTGAACATTCACCTTTGCTTTTTGGTACAGTGACTGTATTCCTTCCATTTTCTCTTTGATGTTTTCTACATTATTTGTTATTTTCCCCATGTTGTTGCTGTTGTTAAATGTTGTTGAGCCAGTTCTGACTCATAGTGACCCTGTATATGGGGCTTCCAAGGAGCAGCTAGTGGGTTTGAACCTCCAACCTTGTGTTTCACAATCAAATGCTGATCCTAAAGAGCATACCAGGAGTCTGCATCATTCAATATTTTGCCCAAAGAATCCTTCAATAATGCAAATCGAGGCTTAAGTTTTTCTTGACTTCTTTCAGCTTGAGAAATGCTGAGTATGTTCTTACCTGTTTGTTTTCTAACTCCAGGATTTTGCATATTTAATTATAATACTTGACTTTGTTTTCTTTTCTTTTTTCTCTTTTTTTATTTTATAGTGTTCTTTATTCATTGTCCAACTATAATATGAATATGATGTTATTGAAAAATACATGGCTTGGGTAAGGTGCACCTTGGCCCTCAAATTGACATCTTTGCTCGTGAACACTGTAAACAGGTCTTGTGCAGCAGATTTGCCTAATACAATATGTTGTTTGATTTCTTGACTGCTGCTTCCATGAGTGTTGATGCTGGAACCAAGCAAAATAAGTCTTTGACAACTTCAGGCTTTTCTACATTTCTCATGATGTTATTTATTGGTCCAAAGGTTTGACTTTGTTTTCTTGAGCATCCCTTTGAAGTTTTCTATTCAGCTCATTTATCTCCTCATTTCTTCCACTAGCTTTAGCATCTCTATTCTTGAGAGCAGTTTTCATAGTCTTCTGACATCTATTTTGGTCTTTTTCTTCTTGTATTCTTAATGACCTTTTTCTTTCTTTCTGTATGATGATGTTCTTGATGTCGACCCACAACTCTCTGGTCTTCAGTTATTAGTGTCAATGCAGGAGATTTTTTTCTTGAGATATGGTCAAGTTACTATTTTGGTGCTTGTGGACTGGTTTTAATTTTCTTCAGCTTCAGCCTGAACTTGCATATGAGCAGTTGATGGCCAGTTCCATAGTCTGCCCCTGGCCTTGTTTTGGCTGATGGTACAGAGTTTTTCCACGATTTCTTCCCACAGATGTAATCAATTTGATTTCTGTGTATTTCATGTGGTGAGCTCCATGTGTATAGTTGTCTTTTATGTTGTTTCAAAACAGTGTTTGCAATGAAGCAGACGTTGCAAAATTCTATCATGTGATCTCCAGCATGGTTTATCACCAAAGCCATATTTTCCAATTACTAATCCGTCTTTATTTCCAACCTTTGCAGTCCAATCACCAGTAATTATCAACACATCTTGATTGCATGTTTGACCAATTTCAGACTGAAGAAGTTGGTAGAATAGTTCAGTTTTATCAACAGTGGTTTCAGCGTAAATTTGAATAATAGTGGTTTTGTCTTCCTTGTTTTTAGGTGCCATTGAGTCAGTAC